CTCGCCCCCGCCACATTTTTAAAACCCCCCCGCTGTGGTTCTTTTCTTTTTCTTTTGCTTTTCATTACCCTCAATTTAAAAAAAAAAAAAAAAAAAAATTTGAAAAAAAACTCAAAAATAGTTTGTATTTCTGAAAGACCCCTACTGTACAGCCCGCACACACTTTTCTGTGGAGCTTCTATAATAAAATTTTGAATTGATTGAGATTGTTCTGCGGCTAATGACGAATCAACTCAACTTTGAATGGTGTGGGATTATTCACTGGGAGTGAGTAATGAATAATGTGTGTATTTCAGTGTGTGTGTTCACTTACAATGGTGGTGTGTTTGAATGATAGTATTGTGTGGTCAAGAAAAAGTCTGTTCAGCTGCATTTTTTTTACTCTGTTCTTTTACACAACACGTCAACGACTTTTAATTTCAATTGAACAATATTTACTTAAAATTATTTTCTCTTATAATAATAAAACTATGACTGTTACAATTCCATCCACAACTATACAAAACAGGTGCTTAAAGACCCTTCTAATTGGACCAATCTATAAGGACCCATGTAATGAACACAATTATGAGATACAGGATCAAAAGATTAATACTACTCTATTAAAAGTAGGTGTACCATATTTTGGTTCAAATCAACCTCTTGTTATTGAAGTACCTGACAAATGGATGAAAGTGGCCAAGAGCCAATATTAACCAGTCAATGAAGGAATAAAATACAGAATTAGAAGAGACTGTCAAACAATTACAGTCTGAATTGAATGAGAGTGATTTTAAGAAACTGTTGGTGATTGAAATAAAGCATTCATTACTAGATTAAATAGAACAACTAATGAATGGAAATGAATACTTTGAGACTGATTCAGAGTTGTTCTTTGTTGACAAGACACTTGTCTATTATCTAAGAAAGAAGAGCAGCGGTGACAATTAAAAGAGAATTCAGTGAATCAAACATGATTTAATGAAGGGAGACACCAACCTCTGCAAAGAAATCCATCACAACCAGCCAGTTATCCAAAAGAGACTCTATCATCACTTGAAGAAGAAAATTGATGATGAAAAGATTGTTGAAATAAAGAGACGTTAATCATTGTCAGAGTCAGAGAATGCTTGCAGTGGTCCTATATCCTGAGCAAATATGTGGCCAAGCAATTCGTGGATGCTGTTACTGTTTCCTTGATTGTTGCGTTTTGTGTTTACATAAACAGCGTCACAAGTCTCTAATTCCATAAACACTGGTTCTGATGGATTAGATGAACAGTTCATGTGCACTGAAGTCTCCAATATTGTTCCATTTGAAAGATTCCTTATTGTTGTAATGGTGATTAAGGTGGGGAGTTTAGTCAGCGACAATGGACACGCAACCCACTTATCACATTCATTCTTGTAAACCAGGACAACTGCTTTGTGAGTTGTAAGCCCTCCATCTGTAAGTCCGTCATTCAAATCCAGCTTGAAGCCTTGTTTCTCTGAATCCCATTCACATAATTCAATCTGTGACAAGTTTCTTTGAATAATTTGGGTTTTGCATCTTGTTTCAAAGTGACTCTGCATAGTCTTTCTGGAAATCACCTTACATTGACACATGAAGTATTTGTGTTTCCTATAGTTGCAATCTTGAACATGTTCAGTCAAGATTCCATTTGAGTACTTTGAACTTGCAGTTTTTGTTGGTACATGATTCCAAAAAGGGTGTCAGTGTAACTTGCAGCTGTTTATTGTGAAATAATGATTCAGTCTTACAATGAGGGCACTTTTGACCCATTTGATGGCAACATTTAATACAAACAAAGTGAGGATTTGACCCATTTGCACATTGAATAATCGGGAAATTTATATTTTCAAGGCAGACACAGCAGGTCAAGTCAGATTGCTTTAAATTCACTGAGTAGTTTACTACTTGTTCCATTTTATAATATAAGCAAAAGATTTTAAGTTTAGAGAAATTCCACAAAAATGGAATTTCTGGACCAATCAAAAGTCACCATTTTTATGACAATTGCAACTTGTTGTTCTCTTGTCTCGAAATCAGTCGCAAATTTCAATGAGCATTGATGTTCTTGAAGTTGTCATCTGTGGTATGAAGGCATCATGGCCTGATGTGGTCAATTTCATATCCTCTTGGAACTGCTCCATCAAAAAATACCAAGATGCTCCAAAAGCTCTCGTCTCTTTACAAAAGTATGTTTCAAACTAAAGTCATCAGAACAGTCCTTTCAAATAATGTAGTTGATTACTTGAACATCCTCAATTCTCTTTTGTTTGAGTTCAACATGCCAACTTCATCAATGAAAATGTATTGATATCTGCTGGCTGCCTTTACTGCTTCCTTCAAGTTGCACTTGTCATTATT